GCACTCCCTCCAACATGCCCACACAAACAGGTAAGGGCACAGGGTGTGATGCATCTGGTCTACACACATTTACTCAATTTGACAGCATGATCAGGCAGGACTGCAGCAAATCTTCTAAAACCAGGCCCAGATAGTGCCAAACCTCCTATCTTCTGGCCAAATTTCTCACCTTCTAGCCAAACTGATCAAAACAGCTGGCAGTAACACCCTATACCTATCTTCAGTCACACCCAAACAGTCTCTGTGAACGGTTGTGTGCTGTTTCTCCTTCTCCTGCAGAGAACAGGCTAGTAAAACAGAGAAGCCATCCATCCAGTCACTGGAGATGAGAAGCAGGAGGATTTTGGAAGACAATTCCCAACTCATTTTTCAATTTTGTTTCACAGTTTTTCAACACTTATTGATCTTACAATATTAAATAATCTATTATTAACTTGCTGTCTGGGCAACGTCCCCTAAAATCTGGTCTGATGTTTATCTGAACAAACATTCCAGTTTCACATGGAAAATGTTTTGTATTCAGGCACAGATAACTAATGGTCAGTGACCTCTGGGGCTGTTGATGTTCTTACCAGATGCTATCAAGCCTTTATTTCTGAATATAGGAGAAGCATAGTGAATTTAAAAAAGGGCAGTAACATTCAAAGGATACAGAATAAGATATGCTGGCTTATTTATGCATGCATTGGCTACGCATTTGTTTAGATTTTTAGCTACCTGAATTTTCAGCTATCTGATTCTATGATTCTATCATTCTCTTACAGCCATTATTGGCCAATCAAAAAGTTTTTAAAAAGCAAGACTCAAATATCAAAGTTCTCAAGATGGGCTTAAAAATCAAGATTTTTATAAAATAAGTTAATTATGAATTCTATTTATGACTTCAGAACCTGCCCGTTGAACACACTTCATGGTTAAACATTTTCTTCCACATCTGAGAGATTATAAATATTAAACAGCTGTATTCAGAATATATATCAGAACCAAAGAGTAGTTTGGGTTGGAAAAGACCTTAAAGCTCATCTAGTTCCAATCCACCTGCCATGGACAGGGACACCTTCCACTAGACCAGATTGCTCAAAGCCGTGTCCAACCTGGCCTTGAACACTGCCAGGGATGGGGCAGCCACAACTTGTCAGGGCAACCTGTTCCAGTGTCTCACCACCCCCACAGTGAAGAATTTCTTCCTAATATCTAATCTAAATATCCCCTCTTTCGTTTAATGCCATTCCCCTTTGTCCTGTCACTACTACCTGCCTTTGTAAAAAGTCCCTCTCCACCTTTCTTGTCATCCCCTTTAAGAACTGGAAGCTGCTCTAAGGTCTCCCTGGAGCCTTATCCAGGCTGAACAACCCCAGGTCTCTCATCCTGTCTTCACAGGAGATGTGCTCCAGCCCTCTGATCTGCTTTGTGGTCCTCCTCTGGACTTGTTCTAACAGCTCCATTTTCCTCTTGTGTTGGGGGCAGCAGAGCTGGACACAGTACTCCAGAAGGGGTATCATGAGAGTGGAGCAGAGAGGAAGAATCACCTCCCTTGACCTGCTCGGCAAGCTCTTTTTGGCACAGCCCAGCACACTGGTTGGCTTTCTGGGCTGCGAGTGCATACTGCTGGCTCATGTTGAGTTTCTCATCAACCAGTATATTATTTTGATTTCAAAGGTAGATTTTAAAGACCTCCAACTAGACATAATACTAAATACTATACAATCACAACAGTTGCAAATACTTCCCTTCTGTTAATCTACTACAACTTATAAGCATGAATTAAAGCTTAAATATTAAGAACAGTATAATGCCACAAGCCCTGAAAAAGTAAAATCCCTTGGAACTTCCTCTGACACTAACCTTAACATCAACTTCTTAACCTCACCTTTTTCCCCAGCCTCTCAAGCCTGACAAACGGGTCACTCTCGCAACATATCCTTAAGGACAACATCTTACAATTTGGCTGGTTTTTTTCTAGAAAGCAGTTTGCAGCCAGTGGCACTGAGGACAAGACAAGGAATACTGATGCCCTTTCTATTCCCTGTATTAGTTCTTGAGGCCTCCAAAGCAATGAGACTTCATCATCAACCTGCTCACTTGACAGCTGGTCTCCTCCAAACAGCTTTTGAACTTAAGGTTTGTTTGAACAAAATTTGATAGACAAGGTGATGAAGCTTCTAAAAATTTGATTAAAAAAATGGTGACTGGTAAAGAAAGATAAGTTGTGGGAGGGGAAGCTATATGATCAGGGTATAAAATCAGGCCACCCTGGTCTGAAGCTATAAGGCATCACAGACTGAAAAAAAGTAAAGACATGCTAGCCAGGATTTCACCTATAACTGACTGGAGCCACATGTGTCTTTGTAAGCTCTACTCTTGCTCAGAAGCAGAAATAACAGCAACTGCAGAGCAGCACAGGCTATAAGATGGATAAGGTCTTGCCACCTGCATAACTAATTGAGCTGTGTGATTTGATAACCCCAGCCTGAGTGAAACACTACTGCAGAAGGCAGAGAACAGTCAGCTAGCATAACAGTTATCTGTAAATACTTACAGCTATATTTTAGGAAAGGAGCCATTGATTATTGTGTGTTTTCTCTTTCATTTGTCAGATTTCTTTTTGTTTCCCCTCCCCTAGAATAAATTTCTATTTATTAAGCATTTGATACACTGTTTTCCAAGTGAGGAGGATAAACCTCTTTTTTGTGTGTTTTCCCAGATTTCTAGAGAGAGGTTTAGAAAGGATGTTTCTTACTAACTCCTTAAAGTTTGAATGTGGACTACCTCTTACTGTTGTAAGTCAAGCCTTGGCAAAAGTAATAAACAAGCTTTAGATAATCTATTCAAGGGAAATGCCATGTTTGGATAAATATTCCTATTCCTACCAGAAACCTGTTTATGGAAATAGGTTCATTCAAGCAACAAACAAAACTTGGAAGTGATAAATATAAAAACAAAATAGGTATTAAAAAAAATATCAAACTGGATGAGAAATACATTATACTGACCCAACTATGACTGAAAATTAACTGCTCTAACTGTGACTGGAGTGCTTGTCCATGCTGTACTTCAATAATAGAGTCCAATCTTTCTTTTCCAAGGAAATTAAGGACAAAACTCTTTACAGACAGAACAGAATCTTACTTTTACTTCTGCAGTCAGTGTTGCAGGAACTGTACATTTTCTACTGTTTATTCATAGTGTTTCTATTTCAGACACAAAAAATACACAAGCCACTGTCAGAAAAATGATTGGTGTCACAATGAACAGCACAGAACAAAAGGATTAAAAAAGAACAACCTGCAAACAATAGATGACTAAGGGAATTATGTTCTAAATTACCTAATCTGATGCCTTTCTTCAATATGACTGCCCATTTGAAAAATTAAACAGTATTGTAATGAATGGGTGTGCAATCTGGAACACAGCAATGAGGCGAATATTACTTTTAACTGATGAGATGTATTTCAAATGTCTTTGATTATTTACACAACATTTATTTCACCTTTTCTTTTTTTCAATCTTTGAGAAGAAATTCTGAATTGTTATAATGAAACATTATAAATACATATACAAAAGAAATGCCCTACTGCATCAGAACAATGGTTCACCCACCCTAGTAATCATCTCTCAAAGTGGAAAGACAGTTGTGGTTAAGAGATATGTATGACCTGCCCCCTTTCTGCAAACCATTCCTCTGGTTATTTTTCCCAGAATAGTTGTTATAGGGATTTTAAAGAGTACTTACCTGCTTAGTCCTCCTAGCATCCACTTAAAGACCTGCTATCCATGAACTTTTCTAAGCCATTCTGACCCTGCTGATACTGCCTGCCTCTGTATCTTCATACGTCAACAAGTTCCAGAAGTTCTCTACCCATTGTGTGGGGACTATTTTCATCCATTTTAAACTGACTCACACTAATTTTGAGTATCCCTGGTTCTCATACGGCGAGATTATCCATTTAGCTTATCTACTTCCTAAGAACTGTTAAGTGTGTCCTGAAGTAACTATAGAATAAAGCCACTGCATCAGCTCTGTTATCTAAAAATATGGTTTCTTAGACACCAGACATGCAACAGCTGGATTTTTTTTTTTTTAACAAGGATTAATGAAATGAAGTAAGGGTTAAGGATTACTCTGCATTATATTTCCCAAGGTTCTCACAAAAATAAGTATGTACTGAATTATTTTAATTAATTCAAAAAATTACCAGCAATTCTCTAAAGAAGTCTATGAAGGCTACTACAGCCAAAGAGCACACAAAACTGCTCAGATTGAGAATGCAAAGGCAGCTTTCTGTCACTTCATGCCATGCCTAGATTACACTGGAATTAAGTCAGTCACTCCCATTCTGAACACCAGTCTGAAATGATGTAAAGCTGATAAAAATCTGTTCTAAATTTTCTCAAGCTTGAAGAGTAGCAGGTACTCATATAGAAGCTACAGACCACCAGCTTGCAAATGCACCTTCAGCTACATCCCCTTCCAAATCTGAGTGATCATCTTGTTTCCCTTTCACTACTTCTCTGTTAGGTAAGGATCTGTAAAATCAGGGATAAGGATATAGCCATCATTTGACCACAAATATTTCACCATATTTTCAGTTCAACCATTTTTACAGTAAACAGAAAACCAAGATCGCATAATACATGCATACATAAACTGGACCTTCTTAATTTCAGGCTCAGCAGCACACTGTTAGAAGCTAAGTATTTTTCATACTAAAACACTATTGCACAATGTCTGCTAAAGAATCACAAACATAGTCCCTTTGATGGGCCTTACAAGGCCTACTTTTCTCAAAATCTGCTCAATCACTATCTAATCATTTACTTGATGTTTGTAAATGTTAATCCAGGGTCAAGGTAATGGCACGTCTGACACAACACTCAAATTTATATAAAATCATGCCCTTCTAGAATTCATTTATAACTTTGGTGGGCTACCCTGATTTAAAAGCAGACTACTGACTTTATTAGAGCACAGGCAGAAGTGACCTGATGCCACAAACAAAATGCTGCTTCTAGCTTCAGCTTTTTTCCTAATACTACTGCAGTGCTCTAATGCCCAAAACAAAACAAGCATTACGCCTGCAGACTGTAATACCATTGAAACAGATGCAGGAGTGGCCCTGGATTTGGTCAACAGACACCGCAGAAGTGGCTATGTTTTTGGGTTATTCCGTGTTGCTGATGCACATGAACTACATATAGTAAGTATCAATTTAAAGGATGATTTACATGAGACTGTGATTTTAAAATAATGACACAGCTCTTTAAAAGCTTATGTTTATTGCTTTTAACAGAGGAATGTTGATGTAATTCAAGGAATCAGTTCTGATTTACGCTGTCTCAGTATTCATTTGTGCATGGTTATTGTACATAAGCTTGATCTTGAACAATGCTGAATGCCCTTACTCTTCTGACTGACAAGACGTTGTTGTAAGAGATGCTCCAAACAGCTTTATACAACACTGGAAATTAATCTGTCCCGCCTGTTGTCAGGTCTCAGATGTTGTGTTCAAAATTTGTATTTCAAGGGTTTCTTTAATCTGGAATGTCTAACATTAATTAGATCAACCTATCCTGCAAGACTGGCATTTTGTTATTATCTTAATTCTGGGAGATGAAAATGCCACTCTGTAAAACAGGGGAAGGGCTGGATAGAGAATCTGCTTCAGTCATTTCCCGTTTCCTTCCTGTTTCTATTTCCTAGAGAGAATACATAAGCCTTTGTCAATGATTGCCTACATTTCTGTTTCCTAGAAAGAATACATAAGCCTTTGTCAATGATTGCCTAAATGCCAAAGCAAATCAATAGCAGAAAAAGCAATAGAATACAAAATTTCTTTAACTATTAGACAAAAGAGACCAAGGACATGCAGATATACTAATGCACCTGACTACTTTTTAGCTGCTTGCCTATGAAACTAAAATTCAGGCACACAGCCACTCTTTAAGAAGTGTATTGCACATCTCAGTATGTCAACTTTAAAAACAGGCAGCATCTGATGGAGCTGCTTAAGACTGCCTGTTAGGACAAGAAAAAGGTCAGGAAGTGATCCAAAGCCCAGATTCCAAGGATGTGGCAAGTGATACTATCGGGTTTTACACAATAGCCAGGTAGTTAAAGAGCTCATCTAGGAAGCAGTCAACCTTCTTAATCTTCAGCATTAACAGATCTAAAGCCTCAAGTCTCCCATCCCTGAAGAATCTTGCTGCCATGCAGCTAAGTGTGTGCCACCCCTGTGAAGGGGAGCCAGTGGGCAGTAAGACATGCAAAACTCATTGGATGGATGAGAAGAACCATAGTTATTTCTAAAAAGAAAAATCTCAGTGTTTCTACATTTTAATCAATTATTAACTCCACTAACTATAGAATTGTAACTTAGAATAGGGATCAGAGCTGAGGATTCACATTTCTAGGTGAATGGTATAACCACTAGACTACCATGCTTATGGTTTGCTTTGTACCCTTAATGAATTCTGCTGTCTTTGCAATCCAGGGCCACAGCTTCAGCTAACATACAGAGTCTACAAGAACAGCAAAGACTCTTCTATCTATCTTACTGCTGAAGTATTCTCCCTGTAAGGTCTCTTTCTCAGTTCTAGCATGTCTGGTTCGGCAGCACTCAGTGGCAGTGTGGCTTCATTCAGGCTATGATAGTCTACTGTTAGTCTCCACTCTCCATTAGACATTCACACTGGCCATATGGGGCTATTAAAGGGTTAATGAATGAACATTGTGACCAAAGACTATTACACCAATACAATGAATGCTTATAACATATTTGTTTGAACACGCTCTGTTGTAATCTCAATCCTCCATGTCCCACACTGGGCACCAGAAATGACTGTCATGGTTTAACCCCAGACAGCGAGTAAGTACCGTGCAGCCACTTGCTCATGCCCCAGACCCAGGTGATTCCAAAGGGATTCTGAGGAGAACTGGAAGAAGGTAAACCCCGTGGGTTGATAAAAGAACAGCTTAATAATTGAAATAAAATAAATAATAAAAATAACAACACCAATAATAATAATAGGAAAAAGAGAGAAGGAGTAATAAAATTCAGAATACAGGAAACACAAGTGACGTACAATACAATCGCTCACCTCCTGCTGACTGGTGCCCAGCCAGTCCCGGAATAGCGATCAGTGGCTCCCAGCCAACTGCCCCAGTTTCTATACTGAGCATAACAGTCTAGGGTATGGAATATCCCTTTGGAAGTCTGGGTTAGGTGTCCTGTCTCTGCTCCCTCCCAGTTTCATGTGCATCTCCTCACTGACAGAACATGAGAGACTGAAAAGTCCTTGATCAGGGTGAGCAATACTTAGCAACAACTAAAACATCGGTGTGTTATCAACATTATTCTCATAGTAAAGGCAAACCACAGCACCGTACCAGCTACTAGGAAGAAAATTAACTCTATCCCAGCCAAAACCAGGACACTTTTACATTACAAACCATAATCAGCTTTGTTGCACTGCTCCTTGAATAAATTGAGCAGGAAGCAAAGTTCTGAAAGAGTATCTGGTCACAGAAGTCATTTGAGATGGATGTAGCTATAGAATTGGCTGACAACTGATTTCCTAATAGACCAATATGTTCTATGTGAAAAACAGAAAGATGGAATTTTCCCTACTTGATGGATGCCAGGATAAAAACACACTTTTCTCACAGGTTCTCAGCAAAAAGATAACAGTTCTAAGTTGCAGTAAGGGAAATTCTGACTAGATGTAATGCCAAAAAATAAATCATGGAGAAAGTGGTTAAATTTCTCCATGGAAACTGGAATAGTTCAGAGAGGTTGTGGAACATCTGTCTTGGTGATACACCAAACTTGTCTGAAGCTAACTTTGGAGCTAGCTTTGCCTTGAGCAAGTGGCTGGACAAGATGATCTCCAAAGTTCCCTTCCAGCCTAAACCCTTTCTAGGCTTGTTAGCTCAGAAAAGCCTTAATAGAGAACTACATTAAAGATTAAACATATCTACTTCAAAAAACTTCCTTTCAGACCAAACTTCTTACATACAAACTCTTTTTTACCTGCAATTCTCTTCCAGGGAAATTCATCTTTCCTCTACTTTACTTTGGATGTGCTGGAAACTGAATGCCCTGTATTATCCAGAAGACACTGGGCGTCTTGTGAATACAGTGACACCTATTCCATGGCAAGTAATGGCACCCAGGCATAGTCATATGTCAATAATGCGTTAACTTGATCTTCAACTAACTGCCCAGAAATTTCTGTGTCACAAAATCTCTAAGACTAGGCTTTAATATGGCTCACTATAAAATAAAATCTATTGAATTCTAGACTTGTTGAACATAAGCTAAAGTTTTGGAAAAGGGTCGACTCCTCAAATAAGTGCAGCTTTATTTGTCTCAGAGGAGCTATACTCAACATTCCACTGCAGGTAGCAGTACCGATGTTTTACAAATAATTTGCTGACAACTAAAGGGCATTAGAAACTATTTTTAAAGCATATTCCTAGTATATTAGCCATCAATACCAGTCATATTTTGTCAGTTTCCTTTCATAGCATTTGTTGTATGACAATATGAAATATTGGTAGAGTCATTACACATACGATATGTAGCAATGCTTATCCTTTATTGTTGCAGTCTGAGATGATAACTACCAGTCCAAAAGTTTATTTAAATAGGAGAGTGGTGGAACTACCACACAGAACAAAACAGGAAGGCCACGAAGAGGAGAGGAGAGGAGAGGAGAGGAGAG